TTTTGCATGCATTTTGTTAGTTTATGCCTTTTTTTACTGATGACGAGTTCTTGCTTGTTCCAGGCTAGAGTCGCACAGCCTAGCTCACAGCACCTCAACTACTGGCTCAAGCGATCCTACTGCTCGAGCCTCCCAATGCTGGGACTACAGGACATGCGCCACCATGCCGGCTTATTGGTTTATATATATGGTGTTGTCGGCAATTAATTTCTTCCTATTTATAGTAGAGACAGGGTCTCGCTCTTGCTCAGGCTGGTTTTGAACTCCTGACCTCGAGCAATCCACCCGCCTCGGCCTCCCAGAGTGCTAGGATTACAGCATGTGACTTTATTCTAATCTTCCTCTTCTCAGGGAATGGCACCACCATCCAATGAGGTGTCTAGGGCAGAAATTTAGATGTCATCCTCAACACACCCCACTCTCCACTATCATTTCAACTTGTTACCAAATCATGCCCATTTTATCTCCTAAATGACTCTTGAATCTTTCCACTGCTCTCCATCTGTCTCCACAGTTGTCACCCTTGTCTGAATTATCATTGTAGTATCTCTGGGTTGGCTTCCTCTGTAGGTTTCCTAACTGATCTCCTTGAATGAACTCTGGTCTAATCTGCTCTTCACACTGCAAGTAGGTAGGATTAAAAGAGACAAAAAAATATAAAAACCACAAATCAAGTCACTCCCCTGCCAAATCTAATTAGGCCCTAGTATTCTTAGGATGAAAACCCAAAACCTCAAGGTGGGATAAGGCTCTGCATGGTCTGGTCCTTCCCCCTTCTCCTGTTTCCTTCTGTATCTTTCTCCCCCTGATATGGCTGCATTGGCCTTCTTTCTATTTCTGAAACATATTATTATTACTATTATTATTTTGAGACAGAGTCTCACTTTGTTGCCCAGGCTAGAGTGAATGCCGTGGCATCAGCCTAGCTCCCAGCAATCTCAATCTCCTGGGCTCAAGTAATCCTACTGCCTCAGCCTCCTGAGTAGCTGGGACTACAGGCATGTATGTGCCACCATGCCCAGCTAATTTTTTTGTATATATATATTTTGGTTGGTCAATACATTTCTTTCTATTTTTAGTAGAGATGGGGTCTCACTCAGGCTGGTTTCGAACTCCTGACCTTGACCAATCAGCCCACCTCGGCCTTCCAGAGTGCTAGGATTATAGCCATGAGCCACCACGGCCGGCCTATTTCTAGAACATATATTAATACTTCTGCTTCCCCAGGGCCTTTGCATATGCAATTCCCTATATCTGGATCATTCTTTCCCCGAACCCACTTTTTTATTAACTTATTCAACCTTTACATCTCAGTTCAAGTACTGATTCCTCAAGGAAGTTTCCTCAGACAAAGTTCCTTTGTAATATACTGTCATATGATCATGTTTCTCTCATTAAAATAATTTATAGCAGTTTGTGTTTATATTTTCATTCATGTGATTATTAAATTACTTCCTTTCCTATACTGTCAACTCCAGGGTCATTTCTATTTTGCTTACCAGTGTGTTCTCAGTGCCTGTGCTTATCAGGTGCTCAGTAAGTATTTGTTGACTATATGGAGAGCCAATGAGTAGTGGAGAAAGAAAAAAATGCAGAAGATGAAGTGGGAAAGGCTGGCGAGGGCCAAGTCAATAAGGGCCTTGTAGAACATGAAGAGTTTGCTTTGCCTCAGTGTGCAACTTTATTTTATACCAGATGCCCTGGGGGACGTGTTATGAATGCAGGTGCCCAGGAATCACCCCGACCTGCAGAATAATACTCTCTAGGGGTGGGGTCTGGACCTCTATTTATTACAACTTCCTTAGAAATGCACCAAAGGCTGAGGGTTTCAGGATCTAGGGAGATGCTGAGGCTTGAAATTGGGAAGTGTCATGATCGGAATCGCATTTTGGTAAGACTGTTCTGGCTCTATGTCTTGGAAAGATTTGAAAGGACAAGAGTGGAGTTTATTGTAATCATCTAGGCAGGTGGTAAGGAGGGCTCAAAGTAAGAGAGAATCAGTGGAAATATAGGGAAGACGGTGATTCAGGGGAAGTTTAAAAGATAGAATTGGCAGGGCTTGGTGTCTAATTGAATGTAAGGAGGAAGAAGAAGCAGTAGCAGCAGAACATTAATAACTAACACTAACTGGGCACCTGTGATGTGCCCCGCACCATTCTATGTGCTTTACACATATCACATTATTTAACATAATAACCCCATGCAACAGGTTCTAGCACCATCCTCAGGACTTCAGGTGATTCCAGGCTTCTTGCTTTTGAAGTAGCACTGTTGTGTACCAGATGGGGATTGTGAGAGGAAGTGAGGCCTGGAGGGTGGTGGTAGAAAATGACTTCAGTTTAGAACCTATAGTTTGAGCCTTGGGTGGGACATCCAGGCAGCAACTGGAAACACAGATCTGCAGCGTCTGCGAGAGTCTGGAGGTGCTGATCCGGGAGCCATCATTCCTGAGAGTAGATGGGATTGGCCAGAAGAAAAGAGGTGGGGGCAGAGTCTGGGACCCTGACATTCAAGATTAAGGCTCTTAATCTGGTTTTTGTGGATGAGTGTCCCAAGTACACAAGACCCTTGAGTTGCATGGGAGATGCTAGCAATCTGGGATTGTGCATTAGAGTCGCAAAGGGGATGCGAGGCCCACCAAAAAGATTAAGGACTACGGATATAAGTGGTGAGTGGACAAAGAGGATTCAAGCAAGAACGTGGGAAAGGAGTGGTGAGAGAGATAGTAAGAAATGCAGGGCCGGGCGCGGTGGCTCACGCCTGTAATCCTAGCTCTCTGGGAGGCCGAGGCGGGCGGATCGTTTGAGTTCAGGAGTTCAAAACCAACCTGAGCAAGAGCGAGACCCCCGTCTCTACTATAAATAGAAAAATTAATTGGCCAACTAATATATATAGAAAAAATTAGCCGGGCATGGTGGCGAATACCTGTAGTCCCAGCTACTCGGGAGGCTGAGGCAGGAGGATTGCTTGAGCCCAGGAGTTTGAGGTTGCTGTGAGCTAGGCTGATGCCATGGCACTCACTCTAGCCTGGGCAACAAAGCGAGACTCTGTCTCAAAAAACAAACAAACAAACAAAAAAAATGCAGAAAGAGATGTCAGGAGACCAAGGAAGTGGTCTTTCAAGAAAGAAGGAGCGGTCAGTGGTGTCCAATATTGCAGGGAGGTAAGGAAGAGAAGACTTGAAAAGAGTCCACCAAATGTGGCTATTAGTTGGTCATTGGTGGGTTCAGTTATTTCCATGGATGGTGGCCAGAGTCGGGTGGGTTAGGGTTAGGGTGAAAATTGAGACTAAGTTTGATTTCTTCTTTTGGGAAGTTTAGCTGCAGAGGCAGGAGAGAGCTGTAGTGGGTGGAGGATAGGGGTCAAGAATGATTGCCTCCCTCCCTTCCCTCCTTTCTTCTTTCCTTTCTTTTTTTAAGGGAAGAAGTGACTTGAGCATGGCAGAGGGGAAAAATCCAGGCTGGGATGAGGGTGAGAGGGGCAAGACACATCTTGGAACCGGCTCTGGGGGTGGAGTTCAGAGCACAGGTGGTAGGCCTGGCCCTGGGCAGAGGGAGTGCCCTTTCCATCTCCAAGAAGGAGGTAAGGGTGAGAATGGATATGCATAATAGGTGGGGGGCATTGTTAAAGATGGCAATGGTGGCAACGGGGGCCCCTTCGTACCCCAAGAGTTTATTTTTATTTTTATGTTTTTTGAGACAGTCTCATTCTGTTGCCTGGGCTAGAGTGCCATGGCATCAGCCTAGCTCACAGCAACCTCAAACTCCTGGGCTCAGGTGATCCTCCTGCCTCTGCCTCCCGAGTAGCTCTGAGTACAGGTGTGCATCACCATGCCCAGCTAATTTTTTCTATTTTCAGTTGCCCAAGTAATTTTTTTGTATTTTTAGTAGAGATGGGTCTTGCTCTTGCTCAGGCTTGTCTCGAACTCCTGAGCTCAAGCGATCCTCCTGCCTCGGCCTCCCAGAGTGCTAGGATTACAGGCGTGAGCCATTGTGCCTGGCCCCGCAAGAGTTTATGATTCTGGTGACCAGCAGAAGGGAAGGAGTGATAGTGTCATCTATGCCTGTACCCCTATTGCTCTGGTGTCTCACACCAGCTGAGGAGACATGCTCTTCTGCTTTGAAACCTTCACTAGCCTGGGACACCCTCCTCCAGGAAGCCCTCCCCGAATGACTCCCCCAATCTACCCTCTTCCTAGTAGCTGGTTCAGTTCTCCATGCCTTCTTTCCCCCAGCACAGGGCGCTTCCCTTGTTTATTGTCTGTCTGTCTCTGGTCTCAGCTGAGAAGCCACATGGAAGGGGTTGGGAGGGGCTGAGAACCTATATATCTGTAAAATGGGTGGCTGCTCCCTCAGGACTACCCCTTCCCAGCTCTCAGGTCCGGCTCTGCCCACAAGAGGGTGCTCGGTCAGAGAAGGCCTGGCTGGCATGGTGTGGGCAGGTGGCCCAGTTGGCAGGCTGGCAGCAGGGCCCTCCAGTCAGGCACTCATGATTCCACCCCTGACCAGGACCTTTACTCCCAGCATTGCTGGCTCTGGCCTCCTTGTTGCCATGGCCACCTCTTATTTGGCGATAAACAGTGCTCTTCCTCCTCTTCCTCCTCCCAGCTAGCTTCCTGACACCTGAGTGTCTCCCTAGGGATAGGCTGGAATTTGAAGCCTCCAGGCCCCCACTTCACCCCCCAGGGAGGCCTAATGGTGGTGAATCACTGAATTTAGGCCCCTTTCTTTCTTTTTTTTTTTTTTTTGAGACAGAGTCTCACTCTGTTCCCTGGGCTAGCGCGCTAGAGTGCCATGGTGACAGCCTAGCTCACAGCAACCTCAAACTCCTGGGCTCAAGCGATCCTCCTGCCTCAGCCTCCTGAGTAGCTGGGACTACAGGCATGTGCCACCAAGCCTGGCTAATTTTTTTCTATATATTTTTAGTTGGCCCATTAATTTCTTTCTATTTTTAGTAGAGACTGGGTCTCACTCTTGCTCAGGTTGGTCTCAAACTCCTGACCTTGAGCGATCCGCCCGCCCCTCAGCCTCCCAGAGTGTTAGGATTAGGGGCGTGAGCCACCATGCCTGGAAATTTAGGTCTCTTTCTGCCTCTCATTGTTCTCTGGCCTGCCCCGCTACTCCCTCATGCCCCTAGCTATGTCCTGCTGGAGTTGGGGACTGGTGGGGAGAAGGGCTGGGACTCCCCTGAGTCTATCAGGCTGAGTGGTGGGAGGGGAAAGGAGCCTCCAGTCCTGATTTACCTCCCTGGACTGTTTCTGGTCTGCGGACCCCCTGCTGAGGCCCAGGAGAACAATCCCAGCACCTTTCCTCCCTTGTCTTCTGGCTCCCTGGGGTCCAGGGAGGGATCAGAGAAGACAGGAATAAAGGAGTGTGGGGGAGAGGACATAGGGGTCAGGGCAGAGCAGAGGACACATCTGGATAGAATCGAATCATAGAATCATTCATTCATTTAGTGAGTCCAACAGGTTCCTGTGCTGGGTGCCGAGGGAGGGAAATGCGTGTAAGACATGGGCCTGCTTTTGAAGGAGGTGCCTGGGTGCTGGCTTGAGGGCCCTAGACTTAGAATCCAGGCCCCTGTTGTGAGCCTGACTACCACGTGCTGGGCAAGTTACTTCCTCATCTGTAAATAAGGATAGTAATACTGAATTCCCAAGGTCATTGTGAAGATTAAATGGGACAAATACGGAAGAAGGCCTCATTAATAGTTGATGTTCATTGCATGTAAAATGACTGTGGATCAGGTTTACAATAAGGGAGGGGGAGATAGGACATGCCCACAGGCAAGTGGAACCCAGCCCTAGGGTGTAACAAAGGCCTGTTCTTGGGGTCTCTGTGGGAGCGGCCACTTCCGGCAGAGGTGACTAGGACAGGCTTTGTGGAGAGGTGCCTGGTGCGTGATTTCATTCAGTAAATGTTTGCGGAATGAATGGGGTGTGCTGAAGCCAGGCCTGCAGGCAGGGTAAAGTTTCAGCAGGTGCAAGTGGCAAGGAGGTGCTTCAGGAGGGGAGGGCACATCCCTGGGGGTGGGGTGGGGAGGGCAGCTAGTGCCAGGTGGGAAAGGCTAAACTTTCACCACCCGATGAGGAATTTGACCTTTATTCTGCAATGAAGGGGAAGCTCTGAGCTGGGGAGTGACAGGATCAAAGCAGTGTTTGTAGAAGATCAATCTGGCTGGGCACAGGAGATCTTGGAGCTTGGGGGACAGTGGGGGGCGCAGAGGGAGAGTGTGTACGTGCCCGGGAGGCTCAGGGCAGGCAGTGATGTCACCCCTCTGCACTCTGCAGCACGTCTCCAGGACAGGTCTCATCTGCCTGCAAAGAGGTGGAGGGAGCTTCACTGGGAGGTGGAGAATTTCTCAGGGACACAGAGAAGGACAGGACACTGCCTCCTTTCCCCTCCTTCCTCCCCACCCGGGGCACAGTTCAGGGTGATGGCGTGGGGGGGAGCCAAGACAGCACCGGAACTAGCATGTGAGGCCCTTTGTTTGCTGGCTGCAGGTCCTGTCCCCCAAGACTGAGGCTGATTCAACTGCAGTTGTTAAAGCTAAAGAGGTATTTACTGGTGGAAGAGGGAGAGAAAGAAACTATTAGGCCCCATTAAGAACTGAGTGTAAACTGGAGAGCTCATAATAGTGGGGTAGTTATGGTGACAGTATTGCCCAGCCCTGGGGCCTAACTTTCCTGGGAGGGGGAATTTCTGGCCTGAGGCTGGCTGGTAGGAATTTGAGGCCTTTTAGCCTTTGTGCAGATCAATCATCTTAGTCCATCAGCCCCCACATCCGTGGAGACGCCCTTTGCCCCCACCTCATTTCTGGATGGATCACACACCCTGGAGTGACTCAGGTATGCTGCCAGGACCACAGTCCCCCCCAGCCCCCAGCTCTGACTCAGCCTGAGTTCCTGGGAACGCAGAGATAGCTTCTGGCTCTGTAGAGGTGGGAGATAAGGATTATGGCCCTGGACAGGCTCACTCCATGAGACTATGCATACATACATCCCTGGCCTGACCCTGTCTTAGTCATCTGCAGGAATGGCAGACTGTCTGAATTTTCAGAAACCTGTTCGTCCCTTCCTCCCCCTGGAGGTCATCCCTGCCTTGCCGCATTGAGGCTTCAGGGCAGGGCTGACCCATCTAAGTCTCAGTGAGAGAAGAACCAGCACAAGTTCCTTTTTCAGAGGAGCACCCTTCCCGTCCTTGGCCACTCATTTCTACTCCTACTACTCTTTGGATTTGTGAGTCCTTCCTTTAGTCTATCCTTTTGCTCCCTTTCAGTGCTTAGTAGAGGAGAAGAAGCTGTTATGCAGACTACAGAGGAGAGCTGGGCACCTGCTTCACCCCCGAGGCCTTTCACGGAGGAGAGGAGACTAAAGACAGAAGGAAGGGTGAATTCTTGGAGAAGAGTGCATCGTCTTCCATCACAGCAGAGTCTTGTCCAAACAGAGGTCTTTCACAAACTTTATCATCATATAATCTGTTTTACATATAACAGAACAAAGCCTGAGACCCCAAATTGAGTATGAGCTTGAGTTTAAAGCTTTCCCCACTATGTTGCAATCACTTTGGGCAATCCAAAGTTCTAAAAACAAAATTAATTTAAATGTGATTAACAAAAATGATTTCCATAATTTCCCCCCAAAATTAATAATGAAAAATAATTTTAGGCATAAATGGTCCTGCCTCTTCACTATACGGAAGAGGCAACTGTAGCTCAGAGAGAAGTGACTTGTCTGTTGTCACACAGCAATTTAGAGACTGAATTGAGACTAGAACACAGGTTATTTGATTACCAAATTTAGGTTTTCCTGCTACTCCCACATTGTTCTAGGAATTGTTTAAAACAATTCTCAAAATGAAAATGCACCTTAATTTCATTTAATTTTAGTCTTGAATCTTAGAATATTTTGATTTTAATCACAAATCCTGGAGCACTTTGAAAGTGGTGGAAGGCGTTTGCAGGAGCGTGAGGACGGAGGGTGTGCCAGCTCACAGACAGAGCAGAGCGGGAAGGGTGCAGAGCTGCAGCCTGGCTCCTGAGCCAAACTGTCCTGGCCTCCTGAGCCTCCCCAGATCAGTGGGGAAGCTTCCACAGGCCTCCTGGAAGGCATCGGCCTTTAAAAGGAGTCAAAGCTTGCATACTGGCTAGAGAATCTGCCTTCCTGTCTCCTGCATTTCTCAGCCTGTTTCTAGCTAGACCCAGGGGAGTGAGAAACTTAATTCTGGATTTTGGAGCCAGAAAAGCTGGGTTGAATTCTGACCCTGGCACTTATGCACTATATGACCTTAGGAAATGTACAGAAAGTTTCTGAGCTTTCATGTCCTCCTCTGTAAAATGAGGCTATTTGTACTTTCGTTACAGGTTTAATTGTAAGGATTAAATGGGGTAATAAAAACCTATGGTGCAGGGAGTGCCTGGCATATGGTGCTGTTGCCAAGTGACTGGGAGACAAGGAGGTGTAAGATTGGGAGGGCAGACCTGGCTTTGCAGGCAGACAGGGTCCAGTTCTGGCTCTCCCATTTGCAACTACTTACTGTAGCACAAGCTTTTAACCCTAAGGCTCAGTTTCCTCAGCTCTTAAATGAAAACAACACTTACTTCATAGTTTCCCTAAGGATTAAAAGCTGTAGTTACCTCCTTAAGGGACCTCCTAGGCCATTGAGGGTACCTGGACCCATGCCCAGCTCCAGGAGAGCAGATCAGGGCTGGGAAGCACAACTGCAGGCTCCAGGCTTGGGTGCTGGAGGGAGAAGCCCGGGAGGAAAAGTCTGTTTGGAAGGGCTTCCTGATGGAGGTACTTAAGGTAGAGCCAGGCTGGAAAGACCAAGAGAGAGGAAGAAGGTTCCTGGCCCCATGAACTGCATAGGTGGGGAGAGTTTGTGCCGGAGCTGGCAGCTAAGTGGGACAGGGTCAGGCCACAGGGGCCTGAGGTTGGAGGGTTCATGTAGCTGGATGTGGAAGCCCATGGGCCCAGGAGTCTAGGGAGTTTGATTTCTGCAGCTGCACACTTGTGAGCAAGAAGGACTGATCTGGGAGGGAGCAGCCCTCTCCCTGGGTGGGGCTTTCTGTCCTCTGCTTTCCATATTCTGCAGCTGTTTTGGTTGCTCAAGCTTCTCTTAGTGTTCCCTGGATGGTCACCCAGGAGGAGACTCGAGAGGAGGCAAGGAAGGAGAGAGAGGGTGCAGTGTGGCCTTGGGGAATACTCTCCTCTGCCTGGAGATCTGTTGGGAATGTATGAACACACAATGAATCCTGTTGCCATGGAGCTTGGCTAACAAATCCCTGAGGCTAAAGTGCCCTACATTGGCTCTGGTCCAGCCCATTGCCACCATCCAGGTCAGCAGGTTTTCCCTAAGACCTATGAATGGGTCATTGTGACCCTGTCTGAGGTTATCTTAGCCCTTAGAGACCAGGGAATGAAGAGGGGTGTCGATTTGTGGGTAATAGCTAGCAGGTCTTTCCTTTTGCTGAATGGTGCTCTGTCTGTCTGTCCTGTCCCTGTTTCTCTCTCTCTCTCAGTCTCATTTTCACTGTTTTTTTTTTTGAGACAGAGTCTCGCTTTGTTGTCCAGGCTAGAGTGAGTGCCGTGGTATCAGCCTAGCTCACAGCAACCTCAAACTCCTGGGCTCAGGCAATCCTCCTGCCTCAGCCTCCTGAGTAGCTGGGACTACAGACATGTGCCACCATGCCCGGCTAATTTTTTCTATATATATATTAGTTGGCCAATTAATTTCTTTCTATATATAGTAGAGACAGGGTCTCGCTCTTGCTCAGGCTGGTTTCGAACTTCTGACCTCGAGCAATCCGCCCGCCTCGGCCTCCCAGAGTGCTAGGAGTACAGGTGTGAGCCACCTCGCCCAGCCTCATTTTCACTCTTACAGACATACACACACATGACGGGGCAGGCTGGGTCAGTCATTTGTGAATTCGTTCACCACATGTTGGCGGAGTGCCTGCGAGGTGCTTTTCTAATGCTGTGGATAGATCTGGCAGTCAACAAGGTAGCAAATGTCCCTGCCCTCGTGGGGCTTTTTCCATTATGGTAGAGAGAAGTCCTTAAGAAAGGTTATTTAGATACTCAACAGATATTAATTGAATGAATAAAGTAATATACATCTTTTGGATTGCTAAATAAAATAAGAAAAATGTTTTGGATAATTTCTTTTGATTTATTGATATTATTGCCTCTCTTAATGGAAATAGTTGGACACAGACTCTTAAAACAGAGTAATTGAAAAGAGAATGCTCAGGCTTTGGAATTATCCTAGACTTGGGTTTAATTCCTGACTGTCACATAAACTAAAGGACCTTCAACTTTAGCTTCCTAATCTGTAAAATGGGGATAATGTTATCTTCTGCATGGATTATTTTAGGACTATAAATAGTATATATAAGAATCTGACACTTTGACACTCAGTAGGAACCCAGTAAATGAAAGCCATCATTACCACTATCATTCATTCCCACTGTCACTACCACGACCACCGTCACTGGCAGGGAACAGGAGACTGGATTGAGAGTTGGGATAAGGAAATGGGGTCAGCAGGCAGGGCTCCCTTTGCATGGCTAGTTCCCTAGCAATTGCATTTGTAAGTTTCTGTTTTGCATGCTGGCAGGTTTTTGCATGCTATCTCCTTATTACTATCCTGCAGGTTCCTCCTTGTATGCCTAACTGCCACCTCTTTCTGGTTACCCTCAACCCTTCTGAGCCAGAGCTCTTCCCTATCTCCTGTGGGCTGGCAGCTGCTGCAGAGGACACAGGATGCATGAGACAGGGTCCTGGCCTGCACAGAGGTTATTTCATGTATGGAAACTTAAGGGCTTCAACTCTCACAAGGCAAATGTAACAAAGTGGGTGAACACAGGTTCCCCAAGGGTGGTCCTTGTCGCTGAAGGGTGGAGACGCTGCAGGGAGAAAGGCTTTAGGAAAGGCAGGGGACAGAGAGAGTGATGAGTCAAGCTAACATGGATTGGAAACCTATGTTCTGTCAACAGAAAAGAACCCAAACTCTTGAATTAATTTTTGTATATGATGAAAGATAGGGATCCTGTTTCATTCTTCTGCATATGGCTGTCCAGTTTTCCCAGCACCATTTATTGATTAGGGCCTCCTTTCCCAGTGTATGTTGTCAGCTTTGTTGAAGATCAGTTGGTTGTAGGTAGATAATTTTATTTCTGTATCCTCTGTTCTGTTCTTTGGTCTATTTCTCTACTTTTTTTCAAGATGAACAAAAGACTTAAATGTAAGGCATGAAACCAGAAAAATTCTAGAAGAAAACATAGGAAAAACTCTTTTAGGCTGGGGTGCGGTGGCTCACACCTATAATTCTAGCACTCTGGGAGGCTGAGGCAGGAGGATTACTCGAGCCCAGGAGTTTTTTTTTTGTTTTTTTCAGCATATTACTGGGGGTACAAATGTTTAGGTTACATATATTGCCTTTGCCTTGCCCTAGTCAAAGCCCAGGAGTTTGAAGTTGGTGTGAATTAGGTTGATGCCATGGCATGCTAGCGTGGGCAACAGAGCGAGACTATGTCTCAAAAAAAAAAAAAGAAGAAGAAAAGAAACCCTTCTAGACATCAGTCTAGGCAAAGAATTTATGACTAAGACCCCAAAGGCAAATACAGCCATAACAAAAATAAATAAATGGGACTTCCTTAAATTAAAAAGCTTCTGCACAGCAAAGGAAATAATCAACAGAGTAAATAGACAACCTACAGAATGGGAGAAAATATTTGTAAGCTATGCATTTGATAAAGGGCTAATATCTAGAGTCTACAAACTACTCAAACAAATCAACAAGAAAAAAATGAACAAACCCATTAAAAAGTGGGCAGAAAACATGAATAGAAAATTTTAAAAAGAAGATAGGCCGCCTGGCTTGGTGGCTCATGCTTGTAATCCTGGCATTCTGGGAGGCTGAGGTGAGAGGATTGCTTGAGGTCAAGAGATCAAGACCAGCCTGAGCAAGAATGACACTCCTATCTCTACACAAAATAGAAAAATTAGCCAGGCATGGTAGCGCATGCCTGTAGTCCCTGCTACCCACGTGGCTGAGGCAGGAGGATCATTTGGGCCCAGGAGTTGGAGGTTACTGTGAGCTATGATGACATCCCTGAACTCTAGCCCAGGCAACAGAGTGAGACTCTGTCTCAAAAAAAAAAAAAAAAAAAAAAAAAAAAAAAGGAAGGAAGATAAAGAAATGGCCTACAAACATATGAAAAAGTGGTCAGCATCCCTAATCTTCAAGGACATGCAAAGTAAAACCACAATGAGATAGCACCTTACCCCTGTCAGAATTATTAAAAAGTCAACAAACAATAGATTCTGGCATGGATGCAGAGAGCAAGGAACACTTATGCCCTATTGGTGGGACTGCAAATTATTACAACTTCTATGGAAAAGAGTGTAGAGATTCCGCAAAGAAATAAAAGTAGACTTACCATTCAATTCAGCAATCCCATTACTGGGTATCTACCCAAAGGAAAAGAAGTCATTTTATCAAAAAGACACCTGCACTCGAATGTTTATCTTAGCACAATTGTAAAGATGTGGAATCAACCTATGTGCCCAACAATCCATGAGTGGACTAACAAAATTTGGTCTATATACATAACATGTACTACTTAGTCATAAAAAGGAATAAAATAATGTCTTTTGCAGTAACTTGAATAGAACTGGAGATCATTATTCTAAGTGAAGTATCTCAGGGATGGAAAAACAAGCACCACATGACTCTCAACTGAGAGCTAAACGATGGGCACACATGAGTGCAAAGAGATGTAAAGGCCATTGGCATCCAAGAAACGGTGAGGGGTCAAAACTTACTTATTGGGTACAATGAACACTATTCTGGTGATGGGCACACTAAAAGCTCTGACTTAAGCATTATGCAGGTTCATGTAACAAAAATGTTTGTACCCCCTTGGTATTTTGGGGAATAAAAAGCACCCAAACTCTGTAAAATAATTTAAAGAGGTTTATTATTAGTCGAATATGTGCAACCATGTCCCAGAGAGCCATATCCAAGAATCCTTGCATGAGTAATCTCACGTGGTTGGGTTACGGTTTGGTTTTATACATTTTAGGGAGACAGGAATCCAACGAAAAGTCATAAATCAATGGAACATGGAAGGCACACATTGGTTTGGCCAGAAAAGGTGCGACATCTCGAGTGGGGGATTACAGATTATGGATAGGTTTAAAGATTCTTTGGTTTGTAATTGGTTAAAGAAATGAAATTTGTGAGCAAATGTTAACATTGGAGGAAGGGAAAAAAAAAGAAGGAAATGAGGAAGGCCGGGCGAGGTGGCTCACGCCTGTAATCCTAGCACTCTGGGAGGCCGAGGCCAGGAGTTCGAAACCAGCCTGAGCAAGAGTGAGATCCCATCTCTACTAAAAACAGAAAGAAATTAGCAGGACATCTAAAAATATATAGAAAAAATTAGCCGGGCATGGTGGCGCATGCCTGTAGTCCCAGCTACTAGGAAGGCTGAGGCAGGAGGATTGCTTGAGCCCAGAAGATTGAGGTTGCTGTGAGCTAGGCTGATGCCACGGCACTCACTCTAGCCTAGGCAACAAAGTGAGACTGTCTCAAAACAAAAAAACAAAATCCAAAAGCAAGGTTATGAACTTATCTACAAGCATTAATTTATCTATAAACTGTTTTAACCTTGGATTTAGTTAGGGACTTATAGCAATTTGTTATATAAAACATAAGCATTGTTAACCATTTAAGCTAAGGAATTTAGAGACTTTTGTTGTACAGCAACATTTTTTGCAGTCATTTTAGTAATTTGTCCTAAGGTAGCCAATAAATTTCTTATTATACATCGGTTTGCATAAACCCCATAACTGGGAACAACCCAGAAAACTGTGTCACCAGGTATCTTGATATTCTCTCTGTAATTTACTTTTAAGTCTGTGGGAGACAGGATATACTTTATGGTTAGGATGGATGCCGGGATCACATGGCCCGAAAAGGCAAAGTCCCTCCTTTTGTCAGCTCTTTAGGCATCTGTGTGTCCGTTGATGATCTGGACTGTCTGAATTAATTTCATTCCTCGAAATTGGCCCTTACAATCTCACATGCTCCCTCTTCCATGATAGTCCGTGGGCCTAAAGGAAGGATATCTGTAGTTTTTGCAGCAGGGGGTTGGCAATGGAGAGCAGATTGGGGCCAGTGGGACTGAATAGTTTTTAAATCCTGGAGATATCAGGTAAACTTTGCTATTTACTTAATATTTGTCTTGACTCTGGAAAACAAAGCAAAAAGAATCAATAATGCTTTAAATAAAAAGTCATAAAAAATGGCTGGGTGAAGTGGCTCACACCTGTA